AATAATTGATCTGACATTTATGATAGGAATGTTCATAGCGGTGAAAGAGATATTATAAATTGTTTTGGTGTTTAAAAATTCATGAATTTTAGACATTATTTTTACACTATAGAGTAGATTCGTTTTCAGTAAATTTGAGTTTCAAAAAACTATATAGATTTTCAACAAGGAATATCGCCACCGAGGGAGAAAGTGTAGGTTACCGAGCATCGAAATCATTCTCAAGTTCGATGATTATTTCGGTTTTCCAATGATTAAAAAATACTATTCATCTGGTTTTCTTCCTCGATTTTATTATCGAATATATCTATGTAAAAATTATTCTTTCTTATCTATATAGGTTTTCCATTAAACATACCAAGATTTTGCTCAAAAATTGTTTGGAATCGACAAGGAATCACTTTCACTGATCAGTCAATAATTGGTTTAAATCCTTCAAATATTTTTATAAATGAAAAAAATTTCATTTATTCTTTCGATCAAGAGAAAAAACAAATATTAATTTGGAATGAATCTAATATTGAATCATCTATAATTCTTCCTTCTGATTTCTCTTATTCATATTCTATATTTGTTGCGTTAAATGGTGATATTTACATTGATAATGGAAGAAATGGTCAAATAAAGAAATGGACCTCAAGTACAAAACTATTTACCAATGTATTTGATGTTTCTTCATCATGTTTTGGATTATTTATTGATAGAGATCACTATATATATTGTTCAATGCCTGAACATCATCGAGTCATTAAAAAAAATTTGAATGAAGTTATGCTAATAGTGATTACCGTAGCTGGTACAGGTAAACAAGGATCAAATTCAGATATGTTAAATAAACCACATGGAATTTATGTTGATACACAGCTCAATACATTTGTAGCAGATTGTGGAAATAATCGAATACAAAGATTTACATCGAAAGGAAGGTTTGATAAAACAGAAGTAGGAGATAAATCATCAGCACAACATCAATATTCACTTTCATGTCCAACTGGTATTACATTTGATTTTCAACAATTTTTATTTATTGTTGATTCAAATAATCATCGTATTCTTCGATCAGGAACAAATGGTGTTCATTGTGTTATTGGATGTAATGGAATTAATATAAAATCCACTGAATTATCCTCTCCATCTAATCTTGCTTTTGATAATTTTGGAAATATGTTTGTTGTTGATTCTGGAAATAATCGAATACAAAAATTTGAATATTCAAAAAATTCTTGTGGTAGAAATTTTAATGAAAATACAAACAAATGTTTTCTCATTTTATTTATTTTTAGATATGTCATCTGTTATTGAATGGACATTTCCATCACCATTGACTGAAGATAGTCAATTCTATTCTCAAGATTGTAATTGGGAAAGTTTTTATTATCAATCGTTTGAAATAAAAGTAGCAGAAAATCGTTATTATTCAATATGGAGTCATGCTGAGATCGATACATATGGTTATATTTACGAAAAGAATTTTGATTCACTTAATCCAAATGATAATCTACTTTTTAAAGATGATGATGATGATGAC